CAGTGGAGAAATGTCACCGCTGAGTCACCGACGTGCCGTAGGTGTTGCCGGGCTCCGGCCCTGCTCCATTCCTGCCATCTGGCAGGTGGCAAGGCAGAAGGTGATATTCACACCCACACCCTCCCAGCGCCGAGGGGGCGGAGGGGCGGAAACCACAGAAGAATGACAAAAAAACATCAAATAAAAGAGAAAAGGAGCTGCACAGAGGGATTTCTGCCCACGCTGCAGCTCCCCGGGCTCGTGGCTCTGCACAGCCCTGCACGGGGGAGCACGAGGTGGGAAAGCACCGGGCACCTGAGCGACTCCTTCCTCCCAGCCACGGATCACCTCCTGCTTGCCCATCACAAACTTGAACGGCTTGTTCCTGTCACGGGAGGAGTCGAACTTCTTCCCATCCTCCAGCATACCTGGGGAGAGAGGGAGGGAGACCAGTGACACGGGGACAGAGCCACGCGCGGGCTGTGACAGGCTGAGCGGGTGACAGTCACCCTGGGAGAGCTCACACGGCCCTGAGTCAGAGATGCTCAGCCCCTTTTTCCCTAGGGAATCACCTGAATGGGACAGCTCAGGGGGAACCCCCAGGGCATCACCCAGCCTGGCAGGAGCAGCCCTGGATTGCTCCTGGCTGCTCCGACCCAGAGAGAAAAGCTCCTCTGGGCTGGGATCAAGGACAGACTAGAGGAGCAGATGGAAAGGGGAGGGTGAAACCCCCTTCCCCACCGTGCAGCACCCTTGCCAGCCACTGTGCAGGCAGCAGGATCAGGCTCGGTGCTTCCCATCCCACCAGCAAACATGCGTCCCGCTCCTTGCCGCGGGCAGGCTTCCCATCCTCAGGCACCCCAAACACTCCCCAGTGCCCCATCTTGGCTGGCACCGGCCTCCAGGCCCCCCCCCAGGCCCAGCCGTGTCCCACTATCTTCAGCCAAATCATTCCCAATCCCAAGAAGGGTGACGGGGAGAGGCAGCACCAAGTGCCGGGCGTACGTGCCCGGGGCAGCCCGCGTTCCCCCCTCACACGGCGCATGGCGAGGGCCGAGCGAGGCTGATATCCCCAGGGCTAAATATAACTCCCCAACACGAGCAAAGGAGGAATTTCCTCCCCTCCCTTGCTCCCTGCGTGTCCTTCTTGGGGAATCTCGGAGCCAGAGCTGCCTTATAGGAGCAGCAACTCCACCAGCCAGCGGAACCGCTGCTCCTAGAAGGTGGCCCCGCATTAACCCACCCAGGGCCCCGTACACTAAGAGCAGTATTAAACTCTCCTCCAACTGCTTCTCACTTCTTCACTTCCCAAAACAGCCCCAAAACCTGTTTTCCTGGCTGGAAACTGCTGTACAGGCTTGAAAAACCAACCTCGACCAGCAAGGCAGGGGGCACACACTCATTTCCCTTCAGCAGGGCACTGCCCACGGGCAAGGGAAAACGCAGCCGTGCAAAACCAGGACTTCAGGAAGGAATTCTTCCCGCAGAGGGTGGGAGCACTGGGACAGGTTCCCAGAGAAGCTGTGGGGCGCCCCATCCCTGGGAGTGTCCAAGGCCAGGCTGGATGAGGCTTGGAGCAACCTGGGCTATGGAAGGTGTCCCTGCCCATGGCAGGGGGTGGGACTGGGGGGAGTTTGAGGTCCCTTCCCACCCAAAACAGTCTGTGACTCTATGAAAAGATGGGATGGGGCATCGCAGGGAGCAGAATTAAGCTTTTCATTTCATGAAAAGCAAAAATCCCCTTTCCAGGGCTTCGAGCATCAGCTCAGCTGGTCCCGCTGCCGCCCTGGACTTTGGAATAGCAAACCTGGACTTTTCTTATTTCCTCCTTCCAGGATAAACCTCTCATCGCTGAACCTGCTTCCAGCCCCGTCTGGCACGGATCCCCACTCCCGTCCGCTGGCTTTCCTCCCGCCCGGCAGGGCCGCTGGCAGCAGGGACACGGAGCTGGCGCCGACAGCGTCGCTCGGCTGCGGCA